TAAACACATAGTAATATATATTGTGGAAGTGTATACTTTGAGTACACAAAATACACCAACAAATAGATCCAAACTCATCTCATCACTCGTATATTAAACTGTTGCATATTAATTTTTGCCGACGTCATATATAGAAAGAATGAGGAATACCACACGACACAAAAGAAAGCGCGACGAGCTTTTCCACACCTACCATGAAGTGTGCAGTCTGGAGACCTTTCTAAAGACCCAAACTATCCCGAAAAAAGCCAGTAAACGACAGGAAACACCGACCAACTCAAACGGTCTTGTATCAGAAGAGCATGAGAGTGACCACATGAGCGTGGCGAATCTACTTACAGTTACAGATAGCGACGAGTATTTAGTTCTGCTGCGGGACGCTGTTGTGGCTGTGCCCCATGGGGTACCGGCTGTGGAGAGTGTGGTCAAGGGCTTCTCTCAGGTGTGTTATGGTTTATGGTAGAGGGCTTCTCTCAGGTGTGTTATAGTTTGTTGTTGAGGGCATCTCCCTGGTGTGTTTTAATTTGGGCCGTGACTGCCACATGGTCGCATTGTTGGCACATGTGCAAGTGGGGAGTGTTTGCACATCCAGTGCGTGGTTGTGCTGGTGAGACTTTCTCCAAGTGCTTGCTGGTTGCTTCTGGCTAATCCATTAACTTCGTATATCGTTCATCTGCTTTGAAGGTATATACTATCATTGGGAGCAGCTGATCTCCGGCTGTGTCACGTGTCTGACGAGAAACATCTACGTATGTACAGACACTTTGTGCAGGTTAAACATCTACATATGCACAAACACTTTGTTCAGGTTAAACATCTACATATGCACAAACACTTTGTTAGGTTAATCATCTACATGTATACAGGACTTTGTTCAGGGTGCATCTGTGGTCGTGTCTTCGATTTGAGGCCTCATTCATATCTACGTCCAAACGAATCTCATAAACACAGCCCCGTCTATCTTTATAATGCACCTTGCTCCTCGACTAAGGTAGCCTTATACTACGACTACCTTCTTATGCCCACCCCCACTAGCATTCATCTCAGGCCGATGTAGTCCACAGGCTTATCAGTACTCTGTTCCAAGACCCTGCACTGGTGCGGTTTCCGAGTGATCATGTGCTCACGTGTGGCTATAGGGCCGCTCGATCACAGTCCAATCACGGCGTTCGCAATATACAGGTAATAACCGCAGAAGTATATAATATCCAGGTACCAAACACTTGTTCTATGCATGTGAGGAAAGGCATAAGATATATATACGCAGAGATCTGTGCTGGCACACGACTTCCTGAAAATGGTAAGGTATGTGTATCGAGCATATACATGAATATACGATGATGCTCTCAGAGCTATATATATATATCTCTCTCTCTCTTTTTGGCGACATTAATTTTGCTGCCTT